GGGCTATAAAAAACCTCCATGATTTCAGTAAGTGATGACGTAGTGATGGATCAAGGGGCTGTGGGAAGGATCAAAGGGTTTAAGAAACATGACAAAAATAGAGCATTTCTAGCTCATTTCTTCTCTCCTGATGATTATGATTCCAGCCTTCYTTTTTTTTCAGCATTTGCCTAAAAAACAGTATAGAAGGAGCAAAACCCGGCGTAGATCATACTCTCCATCAACTGTTGTTAAATCCTTTTCTGCAAGAGCTGAAAACTTCCTGTGTCATGATCAGCTTCCAAGTCCTTGCAGATATAATGCAGGTAATCCATTCAATATACCTTCCTGCAGTAAGACATTGCATATCCAAAGTAAACAYGGTAAAGAGGTGAAAAGCAGAGACAAGAAAAAGGGAAAATTGATTATTTAAATGGTGATTGATAGATAAGAGTCATTTCTGTAAGGTTTGATTCAATAGTGGGGACTGAAAATGCTGGGGAGAAAGACCAACTTTCCTCTTCATTCCTCCAACCAAATGAAAACAAGAAGGAGGAAGAATGGATGYTATTACACAATTTAAATTAAGCAGCAGATTTAGAGAGAAACATGATCTTTAACCCCATTAGCACAGAAGACAGAGCAAACTGTTCTGCAGCTTGTTCTCACTACCTGATTCATAGATCCTCTTGCCATTGCAGTRGTGGAGCAGAGATATAGAAAATATTTACAAAAGAAACCACATCAAACTCATTTGGTTTGCATTTCAAGATAAATCAGATTTGTCACATGCAGCACAGTTTCCTGGACCTGCTAATACAGCTTTAAGATGTTTCAAGCACAGGCTAGAAGAAGTCCCTGGAAATGGTAGCAGAGGGCAGGAAAAACCCAGAGATACTTGAAAAATCAGGGTAGGATGAAGGTTTCCTTCAACCATTGGAGCTGGCGGGGCGAGTGCAAGACAGAAACTCCCTGCCTTTATTTCTGTCTCCTTGAGGTGTTCACCCATYAAATTTGCTTGCAAGGCATCCCTCAAAGTATCACTGAACAGTGGTGCATGTSTGAGGACCACAGGATTTGGAAAGTAAAACCAGAGGAGCCTGGAGATTGTTCTGGGCCCCATAATAAAAACACAGATTCCATTTGCACCATTTCAAACCCCCTCCCCCCAAAATTACAAGACTCTCTGTGGCTCCTGTGATATRAGTTTACTTGTCTGGGAGTTTTTCCCACATGCTTTCCCTCTATTTTTTCTCTTATTGCCTCAGTGCCAGTAGCCCCAGCAGCTCCCCCATTAGGCATTGTTTTCTCCCCAAATTTTTGTGTTATCTGTTGTGTTCTCTCAGAAGAGTCTGCAGAAAATCCTTATGACCAGAGTCATCCCGTCTATATCCTGTGGCAATACCTGCTTATGCTGGGATTTTCCACAACATCTGCCACTCCAAGTGATGTACAACATCCTTCAAGGGTTCCATKAATATGTTTTTGCATCATTATGTGCGTTTTGCTTTCTCCCTCAATATTCTGACACTATCTGCCCAGGCATCAAGCAATGCTTGAAGAGCCTGGCACCCAAGAGTAACAGGATGAGCCAKGGCTTTGTCCATCCTTCAAATCACTTCATGATAACATGGTGGCAGCTAATTCCTTCACCGCTGGTCATATCTGCCTGGGTAAGTGTGGAGTGTCCCAGGAGAGCTGGACATGCAATTTTTACCCTGCCATGTGGACCTGAGGAAGGTTGTGTTTGGTACCCAAGGGGACTGAGATGAATCTGGTCTGGAGAAAGACCAAAAGCAACATCCAAATAAGTCACAGTTCCTGAGACCTGCAGGCATCACATGATGAGGGCTGAGATGAGTCAGGAATCACAGCTGACCTGGTGACCAGGAAAACTTCACTGTTCTGCTCACCACCAGCATCAGCACCAGCGTGTGAGGCATCATCCCAGCAACAAACCCCCAAGGGCAGCAGGAACACAAAAAGAGTGGTCAGATCAAAGCTCTTGGAACTCTTGTTCTTTTTTTTTTAAAAAAAGAGGAGGCTATAGTCAGAGCCACAGGAAATGGARCATAAATATCAAACTTTGTTTAGTTTGGGAAAATAACATTTATAATTAAAGATGCTCATCATGTTGACAAGATAAGCCTTATTTTAACTGTGAGGTGAGAATATGGTCAACTTTTAATTTTTTGCCAGTTATTAAAACCAGCCATTTCTTCTCTTTCTGGCTGGTTTCTTTCATGTTATTTTATTTCATTTTTAGTGTAATTTCYAAAAAAGTGACTGGGCTAAYGTCAGCTCAAGATAATGRTGCTTATACTGGCAGAGATATCTTGGAACATCTCAATAATTGGGAATTTYGTTTTCTGTTTATGCATTGCTGCTTGTCTCCATGCTTGTTCCCTTCTCCCACGGAAGAGTGGGAGTYGTGTGACACTTAGAAGGGAAGGAGAGGGCTCAGGGTTGACTTTGTGTGATCAACTGACCTGTGGCTTTTTTTTTTTAAGTGGGATTTGCTGGTTGCCACATCCTGCTGCCTCAGTATGGAGGTGTGTAGGATTTGTGCACAGCAGGTACCAGCAGAGATTATGGCAGGACTGGTGCCTGTAATGCATATTGGTGACAAGATCCTACAAGTCTTCAGGGTGTGCTGTCCCTCCTCATGTGCTCAGGTTCTTTCATGGGGTGTGCTCTCAGATAACTCAGCTCCCCAGATCAATCACACTGAGGATTAGCCCTCCTAAGGGCACCCTTTCCCACCAAACCAGATTGTCCCCTCTAAGAGGGTGTAGTTCGGGGTTTGCATCGGGTTTGGTTGCTTCTGCTCCCCACAGCCCTCCCACACTATTCCACAGCAGATTTGAAGATGTCCCCACAATATTCGAGGCATTCTGAAAGAAAGCTAACAGCTGAACAACACATTCAGGGCTGTGGGGGCATGATCCAGAGTCAGATATCTGAGTGCAACACCCCTGGAAATAATCAATTTGTTCTAGAGAAGGAGCAGGTCTGTATGGATCCAGCCAGGGTCTGCTCCCTGGGAGTGATCCATTTATTGGGAGAGATATAACTGGGGAATCATCAGCACTCAGGCGTCACTGGGTATCAACCATTGGTTGACCCAAGTTTCTGCAGCCCAAATACCAGAGATAGAGCTCTAACAACAGCAGTATCTCTGTCATTTCTTCTGTCATTTCTTTCTGCTTGTTGTTGGGAGAATTCATCTCCTTTCTGWGACAGGCCATTTTCCTTTAGCTGTCCATGCACTACCCGGAAAATACAACCGGCCCCCACCTCTGAGCAGCATGGATGTCACCACTGTGACATGGAGCTGGCCTTCAGGTTGGCCTGGCGTGATTACAGGAAGGGAGAGGATATCTCCCTTTACCTTGGTGACCTGCCTCCGTCAGTCCCAGCCAAATAAGGCAGCACTGACTGTGAGGGAAGCTGCATCTGCAGCTCAGGTGGGAGATGCACATCAGCACATCAGTGTCAAGCTGRTGCCAAACCAAAGACACAGTCATGGTCACAAGACATGGTGCCACCAGTCAGAGCCATAGTGGACTCCTAGTATGGCAAGCACATGGTTGGTGGGGCTTTCAGACCCCATGCTCACTCACTGATACTGTGCTGGATTTTTTGGACCATGTAAGTGCTTCCCTGAGGTCCTCAATAAGGTTTTGATGCTGCTGTACAAACAGACTCCTCCAGATGTGCTTCTGTTACCAAGACAAGTCAATGAGAAATAGTTCACTTGCTAATTGTTAAACCATTTGGCCTTTAAAAAAATATGCACACACAGCTAAATATGTTCATTATCATGCATGATATAACTATGAACATATATCATCATTGTTTACTTCTTTGCGATAATGTATACATTACTTTTAAACTGATTATCCTTGTTGCACTCTTATTGTAGTAACACGTGCAAAATGTACTTATTGCAACATTTAACAAACCACATCTTTCACATCTGTAGGCATTTTCGTCTTGAATTTCCCAATGTGGTGCAGATGTGAAGGARCCCTGTCAGGAGCTGGTGTTGCTGAAGGGAACGAACAGTAACCCATGGCTGAGGAGCAAAGGCTGAGGCCAACATGTGTTTAGCAGAATCTGCAAAGCTGTTTGGCACCTGGTGTTAAAGGACATGGTTTGTATCTGATTTTAATCAACAGATCCAGGAAAGAATTGATGCTGTCCAGGAGARGGGAGTTGTGGTTTGGTCTGTCCAAAATCCTTGTGCACCATGGCAGATGTCACTATGAAGTGGGGAAAACACAAAAATGAAGGCAAACCTCCCCTCCAGGCAGGAGGTCACTCAGTGGACATTCTCTTAATGCACGCAGGGAAGAAGGTTTGCAGTGCTCCCTGGGAGCTTTGYTCTGGTCTCTGATGCCTGCAGGAGCTCCCCAGAGGGGTGGCCCAGGCAGGAGAAGCCAACACTCTGYTCAGGAGACACCCACTGAGGAGCTGGCCCTGCTCTCTCAGAGGTTTGCAGTGCTGCAGACACACACAGAGGCCAAGGCACCCCTGCCCAGGCACCAGGGGACACCCAAGGAGAAAAAGGGCAACACAGACAGGTACCCCGCAAGTTTACACAAGGACATTGCTTCCCAATAAAAGAGAGCTTCACATCCAAGGAAAAGGAAAAGAAAGAAAAATCCATCCCAYTGTCCTTTCTGGAAGGCATTTACATTATTTCCCATTCAAGCATTAAATTGAATTTATCCTTTCCCCCAAGGGTGAGTTTGCTTCCCCCACTGCTGTGCCACAGAGTCACACCTGAACTGTTGGGAAACTGAACGGGATGTGCTCTCCCTACTGCAAAGCTTCCCTCCCCTATACYCTTTTCCTACACATCCCACCCTCCATGCACTCAGAGTTTAGGGTTTGCAGCTAGCTCAGTACCCCCAGTTTACTCCATCCCCTGGGAATCTGCAAGCTGACAGCTGTGGGACAGGCACGGATGACTTCAGAGACAAGCACGTGTCCGCAAAGCCTGCAGAGGGGATCTTTTTGTGGAATTTACAGCCTRTTTCATGTGTCAATACGAGAGGAGTGTAATTACCAGCTGAGAAACTGCAGGAAATAAGCCAAGACTGAATGAATGAAATGGAAAATAAAGAGGAGTGCAGAGGACACACACATTTTAAAACAATTACGGAGGTATGTATTCACATGCTTGTGAGAGCCTGGGAATATATAAGAGATCGTGACTGCAAAGGAATGAATTCAAGGACCAGTCTATGGGGAGTATTTTTTTTCCCTGTGACTTCAAACTTCTCTCGGAGCTCGCAGAGTTTTAGTCAGCTGGCATGCAATAGAGGTACGACTTCCCCAAGGAAACTCTTCCTCGACTTGCCCTGGAAAAGCTGCCGGGAGAGTCTGTGAGACAGAAGCTGCAAGCAGAGGTGAAACCTGCTCCTCCTCCTCCTCCAGCCACAGAGCAGGTACGTGGAGATTGATGCGAACCTGGGAGCATGCTGGAAAGTTGAGCTTTTGACTGCAGAGAGATGGGGGCTCTGCTGACTTAGAGCTGCACCCTTAAAAGTAACACAGATGGGGTACTGTATAAATAAAATGGACAGTGTTTATGGACAGGCTGAGGAAGTGGCTAAACACAGGGTGTAGATGGCTCTATCCACACAGCTGTGCATTTAATCCACCAGGGACTTGCACTGCAGTCGGATCCCTTGTGTTAAGGAGGCACCGATTCGTTTATAACAATACAGTCGTCACTCGCCGCGTTTGTTATCATTCTCTGTGTTTGCAGCAGTGAAAGGTGCGGACACGTCTGGGTGTTTTTTCTTTCTTCACAGGACTTTGTGGAATTGCTGCATTGTAGTGCTCTGAACGGGGAGTGCTGCAGAGATCAGCCYTGTACAAGGATTAAATGCCACTGTCCCAGCTCCCCGACGCTGAATCTCAGCAGAGCCTTGGGCAAATCACACAGCCCCGGGGTAAAATGGGCAGAAGGAGGTTTGGCTCCTCTGCTCCCCTTCCTAYCCGGGCTGTCATTGAGCTCTCCCTGTTGGAGCACGAGGTGTGAGATGGCAGCGTTGTTTTGCTACTCCTAAGATCCCGACAGCTTGAATGTCACCTTGGGTGAACAATGACTTACTGAGAGGCTTCTGCTGCATCTGGGCTGTCACCACGGGAATTAACATTTAGATGGTATTTGGAACCTATGAAGTTTTAGGAGATCCTAATTTATATAAAAGTCACAGATAAATTTGTAAAGCCAAGCCCTGTTGTATTTTGATAAAAGTATTTTTGATGAAAGTGCAGATGTTTCCCTTAAATAGAACCAAAAATTAAGTTTCCCACGACAGTAGGAATTTGTTCGCAGATTTTATGTTTGGTTTTTTTTTTTTTTTTACTAGATTTTATGTTTGGTTTTTTTTTTTTTTTTACTAAGATGTAATAATTTCAACTTTAAAATCAACTTTTTACTCTAAAATGCGAAAATTCTTTATTTTTCAACAATAGAAATTCACAACAAGTCTCTTTTTAAAGCAGCTGCTTAAATTTCAGTGAATGTATCAGTGGCTATTAACCTTTTACTAATGTRATGATGGATGGATTCAAGGGGAGTTATCAATATCATGCAATCAGATCTATCAGAAATAATTATCCTCACCTCGTTTTGWCTCCTGTTGGATCACATAAATTGAATATATCTCTTCTCAGATACTGACTCCACCATCAACTAAAACAAAYTGCTGAATTAAAAGCCTATTTTTCCTCTCTTTTTGCTGCACTAAGATCATATGAGAAATTAGAGCATTTTTGCTCCTGAATTTGAGTTTCTCCGGGAACTTTGTTTTCCAGGGAGATAGTTTGTTTTCATGGTCAGATAGTTTAATCTGCAACTGTCACTTTCTGCTGATACAGAAGAGTTTTCATTTTCCCGTCTCCTACGTCCCTTCTCCCAGCCCCTCGCTCACCAAGTCTCCAGGCTGGTGGGTTTCATGTAATTGTCATTTATTTTCTTTTTCTTTCCTGGAGAGAGGAGTAGGGGGGGAGAAGTGAATAAAATAGGGAATCTGGCTAAACCCCATGTATCCAATYAATTGAAAACKTTAATTTTTGGTGGGGAAATGCTRTTGGCTAAACACCTGATACARKTGCAAGTAAAGAGTGGATAGAGAGGAAAATGACAACAGCTTCAAAAGGCAGGAGGAAAGCCCTGTTGGGGTTACAGGAGATGTAGAATTTCTTATTTTGGTATGCAGATTTGATTTGGCTCAGATTTTACTGCAGCAAAGTCCTGAGCAGCAGAATCAGTGCATGCCCTTCCCTCCTGCTTTGGCATTTGTTCCTGTCCAGGCTCTTCTTCACAGTTCACCTGGCACAACTGTTYGGTCACTTGATAAAACAGCTTGAGGAACTGAGCTGGCTTTTTTTAAAAGCGCAACCAACAAAATCTCTTCTATTTTTATCCCTGCAGACCCAAACTTCCCAAAGTGCTCATCCATGGGTAGAAAATGTGAAGCTGCAGTCATCTTGGTCACTGGCTGTTTTTTTTATTACAGAATAGAACTCTATCTCTAAATTAAAGAAAAATTAGATATTATTTTATAATTATTAGGTATTAGAACTCTATCTCTAAATTAAAACAAAATATCCTGTTTTATTTTTTTTTTCTCTTGGAGGTCTTAAATGTTTGAGGTTTTCCTTGCGAAAGGGTGTGTGCAYTGCAAGTGCTATTGCACACTGCTGACTAGGCAAACTCTAAACACAGAACATTCAAAAGGAATTCAAACTTCTGGACRCCACAGCAGTCCCCAGCTTCACCATGAGTTCCCTGGTCACCCCAAGGGGGTTGCAGATAGAGAGCCTGACCCCAGGAATKGTGCCAAAATCAGCACTGCAGCCTGCTCTGACCAAGGCAAGCACAAGACACAGCGTGTTGAGGGAAGGTGATCGAAACAGTCTGATGAGAGCCCAGCCAGAGGGAACTTGTCCAGGGTTGTGATAATCCCAATGACAGACTGCCCTCTTGAGAATTTAACACGGATTATTCATCCATTGCACCTCATCATGCCCTCCCCTGTTGTCCTTTCACAGCATGTTCATGGCCAGACCATCAACGTGCTCCAGAGGAAGGTGTCCCAGTCATGGCAGAGAGGTTGGAGCCAGATGATCTTTATGGTCCCTCCAGMTCAAACCATTCTATGATTCTGTGATTYATGCTGCTCATTTCAGGGTGCATTGCAAAACAAGTGGGGTGCTAAGAGCCCAGCTCTTTGGCATAAAATTTCAACCATGGGAAAAGAGCATTGCAACACCTCAGGTTTGTGGTTCTGGGAGAAAGCAATGGGGAAATCTGTGTAAAGGTGGGTTTTCCAGCAGCAGTGCTTAAATGGCAAAAGGAAGCGAGGAAACCAGCAAACTGTGATTCTGTGTAATTAGACAGCTGCTGCAGCCCTAGAGGGCAGCACAAAAAAAAAAAAAAAAAAAAACAAAAAAAAAAAACCAAACCAAAACTGAACTCGCTAACAATCTGAAATCATCCTCTGCATGAAACAAACCAAAACTGAACTCGCTAACAATCTGAAATCATCCTCTGCATGACAGAAGCATGTCCATCAGGCTGGTGTGCTGTTGTGACTAATATCCTCAGCTTAATTCATTGGATCTCAACAAAAAMCATTTCCATTTGAGGGCTGTTTCTATGTGATGCCAGCACAAGCATCTGGTCTTCAGTGAGTGGCCTGGCTATCGTCTAGGCAGCAGCTGAAGCCACACAAACCCATGAAATGCCTTGAATCTTCCTTTTCCCACCAGGCTCAAAGGAATGCAAAGCKACACAGGTAACTCATAAGTGTAGTAGTGTCAGGGTTAATTTATTGCACTGCTTGTGTCTTCATATCAGATGATGATCTGGTGCTGGCTTTCTTGTGTGCTCCATTTGAAATCTAACCATAATTGCTTTTCCCTACAGAACCATGAAACTGAACATCATCTTCTTGCTGGCAGTGGTGAACACAGGAACCTCTGACTATCATCCCACAGATGGGACATCCTGTGAAATGGTAAGGTGGAATCCCTGCTCAGCCCCGTTAGGATCCCCTTCTTGCAAACAGCTGCAATCTCTGAAAAGGGAAATCCCCCAGGACCAGACTCTGTGGTGACAGACGTGGGATTTGCAGGGTTAGGGAATGGGCGGCAGGCAGTTCTCAGGCTATGTTCTTTTTGTAGTGACAGCACATAAAAGGGGTGGAGGAGGGGTGAGGTGGGAAGAAGGGTCATTATCTCAGTTTTTTTGCTAAGRGGGAGCTGGTCAAAAGAAATTTGACCTGGTTTCCATAAGACCATAGAGGGGTTCTGGGGCTGAGACAGAGAAAAGACTCAGACCTAAAAGCAACTCCTTTATATCAGGCCTAAGTTCTTTGTGCTTTAAATAAARCACCTTCAGTGAAATACATCTATGCCAGCCCTTTTGTAATAGCAGGGAGMCTGACCCCCTGTGCCCTGACACAGCACTGCTGCCAGGGAAGCTGTACCTGACTTCTGCTGCAGTGAAAAGAAGTGACAAAGCCTCTTGCTCTKGTAAAAAATCTGCTCCTTGAATTTTTGCAAGCACCTGATACAATATTATAAATATTATTCACGGCTGRACTTTCTCCCTTCCCTATCAAAGTGTTTCTGACTGTAACAGGCTTTTTCAAATACTGGTTTTTTTTTCCCTGAGCATTGAAGCTGTACAATGCAAATCCTCAAGAATTTCCAAAATAGGACAAAAATTATTTGCTAGCTGTACACAACTCCCTTATGGGACTCATTCCATTCCTGCCCACCCTGCTGTGTTGCTGCACTTCCTGAATTCCAAACAAATTAAAACTAGTTTATATAGAAGGGTCTTGGGAAGGTGATTGAGTAGCTCAGTTCATAGTCTGGAGAGGGAAGATGGATGAAGCTTGGATCCCATGTATATCAGTCACATGAAGGCTGGGCAAGGGACACARCAATCCAAGTAGATTTGTCCTATCCCATTTTTTTTTGCTGGGCCACAAACCAGGCTGACTGCGGAGAGGTAAACGTGTGCTTGTGTCCACCACTGCACTGTAAACTGCTTTCATCAGGCCAACGATCCAAGGCTCTAAGCAGTTAACTGAGATAAATTTAGCTCTGACAGAAAACTGCAGTCAAGGGCTGGGATGCTCATCTCAGATAAATGAACAGCTCAGCATTGCTGATGTCAACGCTGTTCATCTTCCTTCACTGAATGTTTGCTCTGATGGAAGGTGCGTGGAAATCCAAACACCGTTTAAAGAAAGGAGACACTGGATTAGCTGCTGTGTCCACTGAAGTCCTTTATTACCATTTTTCATCACATCCTCACTCTTTCACACAGTTCCCTGTGGTGACCCCTTTAGAACAGAGAAGGCTCAGAAATGAATACTTTCATCTCAAGTCTCCTGGAAGAGGTGTGAGTCAGAAACTTGTGCCTGTCTCTGACTCACCACTGGTCCTGTCATTGCACTAGAGTCCTAAAAGAGGTTTTAGGAAGTGAGCAGTCCCTACCAGACTCTGGACACACTTATGAGCTACACTGATTTGATTTTACAAGTTATGGCACATCTACCTATTTTCAAGACAGCAGGGCACAGCTTAAATGTCAGAGGATTCTTCCTAACTCATCTCGCCTTCTGAGGACAGGCAAGGCTTCAAGTGGATCATGTTCTACCTCCCAAAGAAAGATGTTTCTGCTAATCCATGTTACCTGGCAAAAGATAAGCTTTGAAATAATTTACAGAAGGGGAAGGGATTTAAAGGAAATTCTGTCTTACCTTGCATTGAGGTCATGCAAGGACATGTGCATAAGCAGATATGAACAATCAGCTGATGTGGGGTACTGTGCAAACTCCTGGGATTTGGTTGTGGAGCTGAGGCTCCACCTGAGCAGCTCTTCTAAGAGTGGCCATGGACACCACACCAGTGCAGTCAGTGCCAAGCACCTCCAGCCCAAATTCATCATCTCAGATGTTCATGAGTGGACAAAGGACAACACGAGTGGAGGCTTGAATCCAGCTGCTTTTTTTGTAGGGCTCTTACAAAARTGGATGACAACTTCCTCCCAGTGCTGAGCGGTGAAGAACTGAAATCAGAATCCAAATGATGCTCAGCTATTGAGCTGTGGGATCATTTTTTTTTTATTTGCCAGCACATGAGTGGGACCAGACATTGAAGGGACCAAGTGCTCCTCATCCTGCAATACTTCTTGACAATGGACTTGAAACACAATGATGGCAGTACTGGCAAAAAATATGAAGTCAGAACATGAGACTGGGAAAAACCTCTTTTCCAGACTCAGGCTGCCAACCCACTGGGCTAAGATGTGGGAGGAGAGGAGTTACACCAAATGCTGGCTTCATCCCATTGAGATGTGCTTCATCTATTCTTCCTACTGCTGATGAAGATGAAATTCATGCAGTTTGAGCCTCAGGGGAGAAAAGATGGTACAGAAGTTAAGAAATATGGTGAGGATCAAAATAGTCGGTGAAAAGGAATGAAAGTTTAAAAAGAAAAATGGGAGGGAAATGTCACAGGAATAAATGGCAGACAGTGAGAGAGAGCAATTTTATCTGTCCCTTTTGTCCCTGGAGACAAATTAAAGGCCAAGTCCTGGAAGATATATGGGAATCTGGGACTCACCTCTCACCCACTGTTTTCAGGGAAAACTGGCTGGCTGGCATTGACAGGTGTTGGATCAGGACTTTGCTAAAATGCTTTCTCCCAGAAGGAGTAGAGAGGGCTCAACACTTGTTGAGGTCTGGCTCAAAGTGTGTGAAGAAACCTGGCATCTGCCTTAGGCTGAAAAGCACCTGCTGCTTTTTCACTCTGGATTTTTTATCCTTCTGGCTTGTCCCTCTTTTACAAACCAAACAAGAAAAGGCTTCCTTCTCATGCCTTGGAGCTAAGCCCAACTTTAGACATATTTTAGCTCAAAATGAGCAATTCTATGATGGCTTTGCAAAAAAGAAATAATGTCAGGAAGAAGCCAGAAAATGTCCTTCCTCCTCTCTAATATTTTTAGCTGGGGGAGTTTTAAGTAAATTCGGGGAAGGGAGTGGGGAAGGGGTTCAGGTTTTAGTAGTCAATTTACTTGGGATCATTGAGAAAAATGTATTAGAGGAAGGACTGTGGAGCAGTCTCACCATATCAAGAGTTTGGATGAGAATTTATTCTTCTCTGACACATTTTTGTGTGTTCTCCAAAATTTAGATGATGCAAAAGAGATTCACAAAGCACTGCCTAGTGTCACACTTCTCCAAAGCACTGTCACTTTATTCACCTCAAAGATCACATGAAATAGATGGGTTTTAATATTTTTTATTTTTAATGTTTCTTTAATAGCTGAAAAGCTTTGTGCCATGGAATCTGGATTCTTCATCTCCACAAAAAATAAGATTCAACAGATTTTTTCTTTTTTTCTTTCTTTTCTGATCTTTCTGCTAATACCATATGGCCCAGACACCCAAATACATTTATGACAAGAGTTTTCCTCCAGTAAATTTAAGGCAGCCTAAGCCTTTCACATTCCACTTCCTCACACTGCTGTATGTTCTTCTTCTTAACAAAATAAAGTTTGATATTTGTGCAAAGATGCTCATGTTCCTGTTTCCAATCTTCCTTATGAGCCCACACTCCAAATTTTGGTCTGGACACAGACTCAATCCTAGCTGCAATTAAACAGACTTGCATCTGGAAGGTGGATTTGATTTCGACATTTGTTGGGTTTTTTTCTCTATCTGCTGCTGAGAATTGTTCTCAAAAAGTATGACCCTCACTGCACCTCACAGCTTTTTTCTCTCTCAAGAGCTGGCTTTACAGAAYTTGTCTTTTCCATGTTGTGTCACGTGTGTTTTGTTGGAGCAGTTTCACAAGGSGCTCTCCCCACGCAAGAAGAAGGGAATTGTTACCTTAGGAAAAGGAAACATGGATGGTAAAAGCAGGAAGAGTTTGGAGATTTGCATCAGAAATGTTTCAGTTGAATGACCCATTTTGGATAAAGGTGCATTATTAAACTAAGCCATGGCTAAAGGAAGACATGATCAAATATCCSAGGGTGTGACTAGGAAGGAGAGATAGATTTTGTGATATAGGATCCTTATATGTTTTTCTACCTCCTTGCTCTGGGACTCACACTGCCAACAGAGTGAAGCTTTTTCAAGTACCACTTACTGCTGCAAGCACAGTTTGAAAAATYTAATAGAGAGATCAAAGCGAGAAAATTAAACACCAGAAGAAAAATRAAGAAATGGTGCTTTACTGCAATGGAAAAAGGCCAAAACTCCTTCACTTAGGATTATTAAAAAAAGTCCAGGAGAAAGGTATGAAAAGGAGAACATTTAGTAGGTATCACATACAGATAAAACTCTACTGTTGTAAGTCAGAGAGATGTCTCTAAAATGAAAAGAATGCTGTTTGCTGCAAAGAAGTGTTAGGATGGTTGCTCTTGCTGTCTGAGTGCTCAGAGAAAGCGGTGTGATCAGTGTTTCAGAAGGAGGTTCTGTCTCGATGTTGAATGTTACTTTCCATATATATATAYATAGATAATACAAAAATGTTTTTCATTTGTCATGTGATAACTCCTTTTCTCTCTTTCTCTGGCAGGCAAACTCACAGGCRTTTTGCCACAACAAAGACCTCCACCAAATCCCTCATGAGCTCCATCCGAATGTAAACAAAATAGATCTGTCTGGGAATCTGATTCAAAGCATCCCAGAAATGCCATTATCATTTTACAGTTCTCTCCAATATCTGGATTTAAGCTCCAACCAGATAAGCTTCATCACGTCAGGGGTGTTTGCACACATGACAAATTTGCTGGAGATAAATTTAGCCAACAATAACCTATATGAGCTTGCTCAGAATGGGACAGAGGGGATTGGACTTTTGCCCAAGGTGGAAATGATGGACTTGTCCCACAACAATCTCTACAACGGGATGGCTGAGTATTTCATTAATCAAGCTCCAACCCTGCGGTACCTCTCCTTGGCAGACAACAGCATTGTGATGATATCACACAAGATGTTCCAGGGATCTCCCAGTCTGGTGGAGATAGATCTTCAGAGAAATATCATCATGGAAATAGAAGAAGGTGCTTTTGAGACTCTGGTGAATCTTTCCAAACTCAATCTCTCCACAAATTCAATTACTTGCATCTCTGATTTCAACCTCAGGCAGCTGGAGATTCTTGACCTTAGCAGGAATAGCATTGAGACCTTYCGCATCACAAAGTCAGATGATGAATACAGCTTAAGATGTTTGGATCTTAGTGGAAACAAATTGCTTCACTTCCCAGTCTTCCCTCAGGTAAATAAGCTGGTAACTCTGAATTTATCAAACAATTTAATCCAGCTCACTGATGAATTCCCTTATAATAAAATGGACTACATGGGTAGTGAATGGCTAGGTGCTCCTTTTTATCTTGTTGATCAGAAGCAAAGTAAAAACAGAAGTTCTCTTTATTTATCCCAGCTTGTATATTTAGATTTAAGTTATAACGAAATCAAATCCATTCCAGATGAGTTCTTTGAGTCAATGTTGTCCCTTCACACCCTTAATCTAAGCAAGAACTGTCTTCAGGCATTTGCAGTAAGTTATGAGAGCACACTGATGTCCCTAACTGTCCTCGACTTGAGCTACAATGCTTTGCAGAGCCTTCTCCTCGATGCTGGTGCTTTGCCAAATTTGAAGGAGTTTCATATCCAAAACAACCATCTTCAGACCCTGCAATGTGACACCTTCTCAAGCCTTTCTAGCCTCAGACTGCTTAATCTGCAGAGCAATAATATCAGCCTTTGCCCCATGTACTCAGGGTCTAAGCAAAGACTTGCTGGACAGGAGAGTGGCTGTGTGTCATTTGTCAATTCTTCTGCTCTCCAGTATTTGTACCTGGCTGACAACATGCTGAACATCCTACCAGCACACACCTTCTACAAGACTCCTCTGGTGGTCTTGGATCTCTCCATGAACCCTGGACTGAAAATAGAACTCAAAGCACTCTCAGGACTGGAAAAGTCTCTGGAATACTTGCATTTACATGGCAATAGCCTGATAGATTTAAATATTGACTTGCCTTGTTTTAGACACCTGAAACATTTAAACCTCTCTGCAAATCAGCTGAACTGGCTGCCTAAGTGGGGTAGTGACACTCCGCTGGAAGTTCTAGACCTGCGGAACAATAGGTTCAGTACMTTACAGAACAGCAATATTTTAGCTTTAGAAAATTCACTTAAAAACTTATATCTCTCTGGGAACCCACTGAACTGCTGTGGAAACATCTGGCTTTCATCAATGATCCAGAACAAAAATGTTCAGATCCCCAACGTGGAGCACTTAACGTGCCAGTACATTCAGAACTTYGGGTATCGGAAAGAAATGCACGTTGAGAACATTAGACCAGAAGACTGTGAAAAAGAGGATCTGAAGAAAATCAATGTCCTCATTATATTAACATTTGTATTAGTTTTATCTGTGATCATCATTGGCGTAGGTTCATTTTTTTGCTTCCGCARGCAAAACTTTAGCCATCAATTTAAAGCATAGRARCACAAAATGCCTTGAAAACTGAAGAAATCAGGTGCTACACTGGCACTGTGTAGAAATGAAGGATAAAATTYTCATCTTTTATTTTTTACTGTGGATTTTAAGATGGTTTTGAAGTGCCCCTAACTGCACCACTGTGGTGGTCTAGGCTGCAGGGGCTGGAAGGAGAGTTTGCTGTGTTTTGCACTTGCTTCATTCATGTGAAGATCTGCTTAAAAGGTTTTACAGTGTTAGAAGAGGCCACTGTAAAGARCTGCTGTTGTTTTGAGTGATATGTAATTTAAATCAGCTCAAAGGAAAAAGGCCTCCAAAGTCTTGAGACCTGAGACTCCTCTAAGCCCATATGATGACATCAGCCAATTAGGAAATCCCTTCTCAAAATTATGTCCCTCCACAAGATGTTTCGATTTGGTCTGGGATTTGCTTTTCCCTAGCTGGTCAGCTCCTAACCCTTCTTAAACTGAAATCATACAAAGATCTACCAGAGTGGGTCAAACCACAGTCTTCACTGGGCTACGCTTTTGAGTTTAAAAACAAACAAAAAAAAACTCCTAGAAATTACAGTTTGTGTCTATTGTTCTCCTGGCTATCATTTAGAAAATGCACAGCTGACCATGGCAACCAAATACTACGGCGGTAAGAGCCTCTTTGGATGCCTCCTTTTATTTTTTAGGGTGTTGTTCCAGTCACTGGGGCAAGACGTGAGAGGTAGAGGAGGTCAATTAGTCCAGACATTTAGTACCCAAGTGGGATGCAAAAGAAATCTCAGGCATGAAACAACTGCTGATATKTTACCCAGATCTGCTCAGGTCACAGGTCCACAGTTCCAGTGAAAGAGGAGAAATTTGCTTCTCAAGTGCAATACATATTTAACTGGGTATAATGTGAAGAAATTAATCTCTGGGGTGAATACTTTTTAAAAGAAAAATCTTGGAGAATGAATTTCAACCAGCTAGTATTGGAATGAAGTGCTTGCATTTCTAAGGAAAACTGTGGGAAATTCACAGCGTACAGCTGCATTTCGGTGCAAAAGAATAATATATTTATTTTTAAAGGTCATGGAAGGTTAGACTGCAAAGAAGATACTGTTGTGAAATGATACATAGGGTGCCTAGTTCTGTGCCATTACTCAGATCAGATGTTCATTGTGTCTCCCTAAAAAGATATTATCATCTGTAAGAAAAGTTCTGTGGATCCTCGTTCTATGATGGGTTTAACATGGCTATCATGCTACGTTACTAAAAATTGACACTGRCATATATTATGTTCTGTACCCTGACAGAAAATTCACCCTTTTGAAGKTAGGAAAAGCTCTCCAAGAGTGGAAGCCTGACCTGCTAGCGGGGTGCAATGGCTTCAAAATAAACTATGTAAGGTCTTCTGTTATTGCCAGGCACTGCACATTAAGGCATAAGAAATAGAGGTCAAAACAAAACCTGTTCAGGTAAATAACTCAGAGTCAAATTTCTGCTTCCTTTCTTCAAGCTAGTGAATGTGAAAATTAACACAYTACAGAAAGATGTGCAATTTTATTTTAAAGCAGCTGTGTAAGACTGGCTGGTGGATTTCACTGTGGAATTTCATACAATAAAAACATCTTTGAATTTTGTAAATAGCATAGGGTTGTGAATACATTAAAGCACCAGTTTTAAATGTTCCACAGAAGAAAAGAAATGCTTTCCTGTTCTCCCATGGTGTTCAGACTCCACCTTAGACCTTTAYCTTTGGGTCCTGAAGCAGGGACAGCTGATCCATATCTTAGACAATAACTAGTGGAGAATAAGGAGGTCTRCTGAAGAGGCAGGCAAAATTTGTATCAGGCCTTCAGAGAACTTGTGGATGACCCAYCCCTGGAAGTGTCCAAGGCCAGGCTGGATGGGTCTTTGARCAACCTTGTCTGGTGGAAGGTGTCCCTGCCCATGATRAAGGGGGTAGAACCAGATGGTCTTGSAAGKTCCTTTCCAACRSAAACCACCCTGTGATTCTGTGATTCYAYAAATTTGCACAAACCATCAGCAGCAATGGGGCCKGATCTAACATATACAAAAGCCCAAGCTTGAGSTCATCASCTCAAGCCTTTAGTGTAGTAGGGAAAGTCTGCACAAGCAGAAATCCCAGGGATTAGTTGGAAGCTCGATGTTGAAGCTGATGAGCTTTCCCCTTGGTGTGAAGGCAAGATGAGCCCAAATGTGGGCTGATTTTCCACACARTGAGGTCATGGTTTTTGTGTCAAGCATGTCAATCTCCTTCCCAGAGCCAGTATTAGCTTGACTAGCATGACTGGAATTAGTTAATAACCTGATGACAAGAGTCAAACCCATTTAATTAATAGTTTTCACACCGCTTTTGTTTGGCTCTCCCAAAAGGAAGTTACCAGACCTCTGGGACTAATTAGATTTCCATTGACTTCCCCTTGAGCAGAAATAGTTTTCTCAGGAATAAGCCTCAGGAATAAAATGCAGCATGGCTCGTTTGGATTCTTCTGTTAGCAGTATAAGCAGCCTCAAAGTGACATGACCCTGCTTCAGCCAATTCTCATATTCTGGATGGGGTGAGGAGCAAGAGGAAAAGAAAACATGAATAAAACAGCAGAGGAGAAAACCAGGGAGAAATGTGAGTATGATATTATTCATCAAAACAGGGGTATGTAGTTGACAGCCCCAGCTCTTGTCTCTCATGTCTGTTACTGTGCCTGCAAGAAGCACAAACATCAAAGCATCTGATCCTGCATCAAATGCAGCTGTTGCTCACACATTACACATCTTCCCACCAGTCAGCCCCATTTTCCTAATAGGTTGGTGACATGGTTTAATGAAGAAGAAAATTAATCCTATCCCAGCTGATGCCAGGATAGTAGGCATGACATAGGCTGCTCTGACTGGAATCTTGCAAACAAGAATTTATGCCCTCATTCACTCCTTTTTTATAAACTCCTTGCAACAGACTTTGTTGATGCAAAGAAAGCTCATATTGCTAAGCCAAGCAATATTGTCCTGGGATTCTGTGAAATGTAATAAAGTGTTTGGGATTTATGGAGCCAATGCAATGTTTTGGAGGTTTTTTTTACTGCTTCATGCAACAAGAGCCTTCCTCTCTGCAGGTGTTTTCATGGTGCAGCACCGTAGAAACATGGAATCACAGAATGGTAAGGGACCTTAAAGATCATCTACTTTCAGCCCTCTTGCTRTGGACAGGGACTCCTTCCACTAGACCAGATTCCTCAGAGCCTCATCCAACCTGATTGATCAGAGCCCCATCAACCTCTCTAACATTACAGGGATGGGGCAACCTGTTCCAGTGTTTCACCAACCCCTGAGTAAAGAATTTTTTCATAACACCTAATCTAAACATGCCTGGAATCAGGTAGATATAAGTAAAGGAAACATAAGAAACACTAGAAAGACTGGAAACAGAGAGAGGCTCTAAAAGTTCAGCAAATCATGACTCATGTTARCCATCCATGGAAAATCAAATCTCAGTTTCCAGAAGCACTGGCTTTTTTTTCCTGCAAAGCCAAGATAGTACCCTAACAGAGTACCAGATACTTCTGCAGGGGCTCTACTCAGCCCTAAACTAGCCACAGTAGGTTCGTATACAACACAGCAAGTGCCTCCTAATATTTTGGGAGCTTAAAGCATTTGCTTTCCTATTCCTATCTAATCCCCAGGTCATTCAATACCCTCTTACTTTTCTGGGGAGAAAAAAAACCGAAGCAATAACTTGGATCCCATGTATCTTCACAAGAAAGAAAACTAAGCAAGGCATCATCTGGTCATGTTATTTTCCATAAACAGTTATCTATTYTGTTTGTGCACACATGTGCAAAGGCACAGAAACACACAGTCTACTTTAAGAAATACATCACTGCAGGATTAGCTTTGTTTAACTGAATTGGAGCAGCCTGTGCTAACTGATCATCTGTAATAACAAACAGCCTGTGGTACTCCTACTTGTGGAGTTCTATTTCATGCCTGTCCATGTGAAACATTTTGATCAAGATTTTTGAAAGAGATCATTGATTTATTTCAGAGGCCTAAATTTGCAGCCTGCATCTTGCCAACACTGAAACAAGTCTCATTTCCCAGAAAACTGGATCCATTTCCTCTCAAAACCAAGGCTCTGTGGTATGTCTTATACGAGTCCCAGAAAAAACAATAGGTTTTCCAGATGTATATATAAATTATTTCATGTAGAGCTTTCTAATGATAGTTTCTGCTCTGCCAGAATTGTTTGGAGCATCTAAGGAGCTGAAAAACAGCAAAGCTACCATCAACACCTCCTCTGCCCTGTAGYTTGCCCTCAGAAGGACTATATTAACCCAAGTGAACTCTCTCCCCACTCTCATTCCAACCCACAATTATTGCTGTGGCTTRATTTGAATGAAAAAGGAAAAACAGCCATAAGAAAACAATGAAAAATAARAGTAGGYTCTGGAGCTTCCTGTAACTATGCAGCCAGAGCAGATTTTGGTCCCATGGGTCCTGGATTGGTGAGGGTCCAAACAGATTTTGCCAAGAAAAAAGAGGAATGAGTGATGAGAGAGGTTGGGAGCCATCAAAGTGCTCAGAGTGAGCAATGGGAAAAGGGGAAAACGAGGTGTTGGTGTAATTCCCTCTGAGAAATGAAGAGCTGAAGATACCCCAGAGGAACAGGCAGTAGTAGGAGCTTAACTTCCTCTCCCCAGGGGATTAGAGAAAAACAGTGAAGATTTACCCAATCCCTTGTAAAGGAAAGGTGAGAAGAGACACAGATAATCATGGAGCAGAAATGAAAGATGGTAAAAGTGAAAGATGGAAGGGAAACTGTGTAGGGAGTTTTAGTACAATTCAGGTCTTCATGACGGGTAATGGAGAAGTGTAACTGGAAACCAAAGAGCATCCAGGAGAGAGGGATAGGAAAAGCTTTGCAAAGAGGCAGTCAGAGCTGAGCTATGAAGAGCAGGAGGAGACACAGGAACCTTGGTCAGACAACACACTGGCTGCTTCCAAGCACGTGATGCATGAAAATAGAGGACTCCGCTCATGCAGGGTGGCAAACAGAAGGGTAAACAGGGAAATGGGATGGAGCTGAAATGGGAGGAAAAACAGACAGAAGAATTCTCAGAAGAGGAGGGTCTGTCAGACTATGCAGCACTCTTCCACAAGGAAAGGCATTTGGAGGCTGAGGCAACACTATATTAAAGAAAATTTTGGCAAATATGAGGAAACAGTCCTGCAGCACGGGGAGAGTCACTTTTCTCCCAAGCTATTGTTTATGGCAGTTGTGCTGCATTGCACAGCCAAAGCAGTTCCACAGATTTCCTCCTCCTGTCTATGCCTAGCAGTCATTGCATTAAAGACACATTTGGGAGACACATGAGAGAGTTTATTGCAGCCTTCCAATGCTTAAAGGGCGCTTATTAAAAAAGAGCAGTTTTTTAACTGGCTTTTTAAACAGGATAAGGAGGAACAGTTTTGCACTAAAAGAGAGGAGATTTGGGTTAGACATGAGGAAGAAATTCTTCACCRTGAGGGGGGTGAGGCACTGGCACAGGTTGCCAAGAAGCTGTGGATGCTCCATCCATGAAAACCAGGTTGGATGGGACTTTGAGCAATCTGACCCAGTGGGTGGCATCCCAGCCTGTGGAAGGGGGATTGCAACTAKKTGATCTTTAAGATCTCTTCCAGCCCAAAACATTCTGCAATTSTATGATTTTCAAGTTCATAAGTAATATACTTTGTGAAGAAACTTTCTGAAAAGTGACCATGGAGGAGATTCTTCCCTACTGTTCCCGACTTTCCCAGAAAATTGAGGGGAGAAGGGAATCCAGGGTGCTGAACACAAGAACCAGAGAAGGGGAGGACTCCATTTTCAGATGGGAAACCCAAAAAAGGGAAGACAGTTTGGGACAGACAAGTGGGTTGGAGGTGTGGCATGAGGCAAGCAGAAGAAGAGTAAGAATAGCTAAACCAGGATTTTGGAATACAAATCACAGAATCACAGAATGGTTTGGGTTGAAAAGGACCTCTGCAGATCATCTAATCCAACCACAGCAGGGTCACCTAGAATATTTCCAGAAAAGGGGACTGGATGAGCAGTTCCAAGGAATTCCTCATGGAATGATTCAGTTGAAATACAACATGTAACCACTGTGAGTTGCAACTGCAGAAGAAAACATTAAATATAAAGAAAAATTCCTTCATAATGGGAGAGGCTGAACACTGGAAAATCCTTGCAGACTTACAAAACTAGTAAGGGCCAAGCCCCCARTAACTAATTCTGATATTGAAGTTGGCCCTGTTTTTATCAAGCAGTTGGACTGGGTTTTCCAGAGGCAYTTTCCAATTTGAATTATTCCCCAAATCTTTGCAAAACAGATAGAGGTCATGCACTTTGGAGAGGAAGGGAGCAGCRGAGAAACTTTTGAGCAGCAGAGCCTGCAAGCAGTAACTACTCCCTGTTCTGATGCTGTGGAAGAGATTTGACAGTAGAAATGTCCAGAGTTGGCAAAAGTGATTCATGATGTCACATATGGGCAGAGCTGGTCAGTTTATTATTGAAGTCTGAGTTCACATCATCTTTCCTTTTTCTTTTTTTTTTTTTGTGGCTCAAAATTAAAATAAATATTTTCAAAATTTTCCATGGAAATTCTGAAAAATGTGAGGAGGAGAAATGTGTCCTTTGTAAGGCCAGAGCTTTAGTTTGAATTCAGATATTCCTAGTGCAGCAAGCACATTCTCATATAATAAAATTAAGTAATCATTGCGACATTGTTTGCTTTTAGTATCTTTGYTCAAGAGAAGAGGAGGAAATGTTTCAATCAGTTAATCCTAAATAACATCCCTCCCAGCTATCACTAAAACAAAATAAAGCAAAATAAAACAAAACAAAGTGAAAAAAAAATATTAGGCTGTTGAAACTATGCAAATGTTTTCATATTTTTACATT